CTCACTCTGCCGCACCAGGAAGACGCCGTGGCCCTCCAGCCCCCCCAGCTGCACCAGTTGAGCCGCCTTCACGCGGGAGATGGGCCCGTGGAACCAGGGGCAGGAGGAGAGGAACTGCTCCATCTTCGGCCCTGCTGCCTCCCCTGGGCCCCCCGGTGTCGCCCCTGCCAGGGCACAGGGATGAGTGCCCCGGGGAAATGGGGACTCCTGCCCGTCACCCCTGTTCCATTCCCCTCTGGCTCTGACCCCCTCACACCCCATGCCACTTGGGGATGCCCCCAGCACCTCTTCCCTGTCCCCAGGGTCCCCCCCACATCCCCAGTGCTCACCTTGGCTGAGGGCATTGGTGCTGGTGGTGGGACTGGCGGCCGCAAGGTCAGGGTGCCGGCACGCCAGGAGCTCGGGGTCTCCCACATCAGACCTGCCGGGGACGGGAGAAGCCGGGCTGAGCACTGGCGGTGGGGGACGGAAACAATGCTGGGGGACACGGTGTGGCTGTCCCCATCCCCAGGCTCGGGGACACCCGCCAGGCGCTTACCCCCTGCGTGTGCACTCCCGGATCTCGGCTGTCCAGGAGCTGAGCTGCTGCTCATCCCCCGCCTCGAACAGGACATCGGTAGCATTGGTGACCTGGGGGCCATCAGAGAGGGACAAGAAGGCTTCAGTGAGAGAGATGGGCATCGTCCTCCCACCCACCCATGCTGGGGACCAACCCTGACCCCAGCCAGTGCAGAGCATCCCCCCCCGCCATGTGCCACATCCCCCCCCATGCACCCCTTGCCTGGCTGGGAAGAGGAACTGAAATTTGGCACAGGAGCCTTTGGCAGCCACATGCGTCCTGGAGGGTGGAAAAGACCTCGGGGCCGGCTGCAAACCCCCTCGGCCGGGCCTTACCTTGAGGACAAAGGTGTGGAGGTTATCGGGCATCTCGAGGCGTGTGCACCTCCGCACCTCCTGGACGGCGGAGCAGGCGGCAAGCAGCTTCGGCTTGGAGCCCTGCGGAGGGGAGTGCGGCAGCTGAGCTGAGCCCCAACACCCCAAAACACCACCCCATGTCCCGCTGCTTTGCCGGGACAGGATCGAGCCTGCTGGGAGCCACCCAAGGCACGGCAGCCAGCAAGGAAATACCCCACTCTGCAGGGAAATACCCCATCAGCAAGGAAATACCCCACATGGCAAGGAAATACCCCGGCGGCTGTTAGGGCACCTTGCCAGGGGCCAAGCAGTGCCGGGAGTAGGGACCCATCTCCGTGACCCCCCCCCCCAAGGACCCAGCAGCAGAAGGATGGGTGGAGGAGAGGAGGGAAAGGGGGGTTCCCAGCACGGCAGTGTTTCAGGAAGACTGTGTTCATTGCTGGGGAAACTGGGGTGCAGGCAGGGAGCACCCCGCTTACGGGTGCAGGGGTTGGGGGCGCGCTCGGCGGTGGCGTGCCGAGAGCGGCCCGTGGTCACCCGGCCGGTTTGGCGCTGACACAGGCATATGACAAAATGCTGAGCAAACACTTCCAGAAAGACTAATAATACCCCTCCCGGCAGCTTTCAGTTCCTCTGTCACCCAGCAAGCCCCGTGCGCCGGCAAGCGAGCCGCTGATGGCTGCCAGGCTGCGGCACGCAGTGCCCACCCAGCTGCAGCCGGGACCGGGTTGTATCCAAGATGCCAGGGACCCTCCTGGGTGCAAAATGCCCCTGGGGGACCACGGCACCAGTTCCGGACCCAACACCTCCCTCCTCAGCCCTGTGGCCAGAGCGGAGCGGGCAGCTCACCCCGTACAGCCCCAAAAAGCCCAGCCAGTGCTGGTATGTGCCAGGTATGCTTGTCCCCCTGCGCCAGGCTTGCTGTCAGCGCGCCATGGCAAAATTTTGGCTGGCCGTGATTGACGCAGCAGCTTCAGCATCCCACCGGCTGGGTGGCAGCACCCTGCGCTGGCTCCGGCGGTCCTCTGTCCTCCACGGCCACTGTCCCCACAAGGATGCCAGGCTGCAGGTGCTTCACGGCGCAACGGCGTTTGCCAACCAAAGCCCATCAATTCTTCCCCGAGCTCGCGCTGCTCGCTGCAAAGCCACTGCCATAGCCCCAACCAGCTGCATGACCCCAAGGCAGTCCCCACTGGGCGCTGGGCAACTTGGCACTCTCCACGCTCACCCAACCAAGCCGTGTTTCATTGACCTTTTTTTTTTTTTTTTAATTTCTCTGTGAGAATTTGCAAATGTACCAAAGTTCATGCATTTTTTTAATTATTTATTCTTTTTCCACACCCCCACCCCTTCCTCCCTCCCTCGATACTCTCGACTGAGGACTCGGTGTACTTTGGGGCCGGAAACACAGTGTGAGAGGGATTGGCCCTTATCAGCACCAAGCTGTGCCAAAAAGAAAGTTCTTAGAAGTCTCTTGCCGAACGGCATCGTGCAAGGGGGTTGATGCTACCGCAGTGCAATCACTGTCGCCGGCGGGGCCGGGGTGCCGCGAGCTGCCGCGGTGGCACCGATTGTTTTATCCTGAAGGGGTTTGATATTTTTGCCACCCTTGGAAGATAACCGTGTCCTGTGCGGAGTCCTGCGGGGAGAAAGCAAGAGGGTTGTTGCCCATCCTGGCTGCTTTCCCGCACGTGGGTTGTGACACCCGGCACGTCGCCAAGCTTGCCGGCGCGGCAGGTTTTATCAGCATCCTGACCACGGCATTGGGGTCAGCCTCCTGCTTTCTTAGGAAGTGGGAAATTCCAGGAAAAGGGAGTTCGGTGAAGCCCGCTGCGTCCCTCCCTGGGGAGAGTGCAGACGGGGAGCGCGAAGGGAGAAGGAAATGATGCAGCAGAGAGAGATACGGCGCCTGAAAAACCAGTCTGGCTTCAGAGAAGTGCCTACCGCAGGCACAGTGCCCCCACCCCCCGAACTGCTGCACCTGACCGCAAGATACCCTGTTCGATGGCGGCCGGTACCAAGAAAGGGATTTCTCGGTAACCAAAACTGCACACTCAACACACCGCGTGTTCACCCAGCACCCAACGGGCTCCTTCTCGGCAAGAGAGGTGCCATGGCAGCATCGTGGGGCTGGGTACCCGCTGCTGCTGGCTGGGCTTGGGATGCTCAGGATGGGACAGGATGCTCAGGATGGGATTGGATGCTTGGGATGGGATTGGATGTTCAGGATGCTCAGGATGGGACGGGATGCTCAGGATGGGACAGGATGCTCAGGATGGGATTGGATGTTTGGGATGGGATTGGATGCTCAGGATGCTCAGGATAGGACAGGATCCTCAGAATGGGATGGGATGCTTTTAGGATGTTCGGGATGTTGCCCCAGTTCAGTCCTCAGCCCAACCAGCATCAGGTCCCACCCTGGACATTTCTCCCCACCCTCTCCAAAGGATCCTGTGCACATAGGGCAAACCTCATCATGAGGTTGAGCACCACCC